CCCCCAGGGAGGAGGTCACATATAGTTCCTTGTAATCGGTTCCCCTGTTTAATTTTCTTAAATTGAGATTGGCTACATCCTAAAGATAAAATATATTGATTTTATTATATTATTTTCTAGATCTTATGTACCTGTATTTTCAGTTTCTACTTTGATACAATAAAGCATCCAGAGTTGGTTTTGTAGTTTTATTACATGCATTCAATCAGCTAGCAAATACCGACTGAAAGTCTTTCTAGTTATACATTGTGACCAGAAAATAACTTTAGTGCTGCTTCAATTTCCTGGACTATACTGTGATTTGCTTTGTCCTGGAATTAACCTGAGTTTTCTTTTCAGTCATCTTATGTTTTTAAAAAGGTAAATTCAAACACATTTAAGAAGTTTTCCTCAAAGCAACTTCTATATAGAATAAACCAAGATGGCCTACATATAGCTAATTCCACTAAATATTAAGATTCCATTAAGGCTTATCAGTCTTTCTTTAAGATTCACCATTATTTCATGTCAGTTTTCCTTTCACCAAAATCTCTGATATGTAGCTAAGGCATTATCCTTTCATAATCCGTTTTTCCTCCCATAAACTGTTAGATTTGTATCTCATAATTGTTACTTTCTGGAGAGAAGTAACTCCAAGATTCTAATGGAGTGAAGTGAGGTGAAGTGGCTCCTTCCTTCAAGACTACCTGAACTGGGAGGTAAGGACAACTTCAGAACGTTACTTTACACTTGCACGGTGGGGAAACACACACACAACTGTTTCTATGTCAGTAGTAAGTGAAAGTACTGCGACTGCTCATCAAAAGAGGACAACCTTTTTTTTTAGTTGAAAAACTGCATTAATTTCTGACAATCAACAGCTTGCTTCATAGCTTCTTTCAAAGCTTCTAAGATTTTGTCTGCGCTCCACTATCTAGGTTTTCCTTATGTTAACTGCGTCCAAGCAAATATTCCAATAGGTTAAAAAAAAACACTGTGCAAAATGAAAATGACATATTAAAAATCCTACAGCATTTCATCTCGACAGAACCACTCTCTAGGAGAAATGATTTATTCTATAATACCAGTCCAGACGTTAACATGCTCCTCTTCCATTAAAATTTCCCATTTTGTTCTGACATGTGGCAGAAACCTGCCTTTCTGAAAAATAGGTTTCCAAGCCCACTCTTCCTTTATTCTTGCACATGGGAGCACAAAAAAAACCCAACCAACCAACCAAACAAACAGTAGGGAGGCGGTCACAGGATCAAAGTTAAAATTAGCTATTAAGACTCTTAAGCTTTAAAAATTATTTGCAAAAGTGTTAGCATATTCAGTTCCTCTTTCAACTCTCCAATGAAGTCTATTCGATTATCCACCTCCTTTAGCCGTAACTACATGAAAATGTCTTTACTACTGTTCCAGCTCTTCCATGGTCACTAATAGAAACAAACCTTATTCATGAAAAGGTTGAAGAGGCTGGCAGACAAAATCACTGGGAAAAAACCTACAATAAAAAGGGATACATACTGAAAGCACCTGTCATATCTATCACCTACCAACTTAAAACTCCATCTGTGTATAAGGTAGTGGCAGGAAGCAGTTCCTATGGTAGGCAGAAATATGCCTGACTCGCTCTCCTTATCGGATTATTAAAAATCCATTCAAGACAGACCGTGAACGACAAACGACCCCGACGCCGATCCTCTGAGTGGTCTCAGGCAAAAGAAAGCCACAGCAGTCCTGAACAGCTCACAGCCCCGAATGCAAACACACTGCCCATACCTGGGCCCATCACCTTCTCCGGGTCCCCACCTTTGGGCCTAGCTAATCCAATCATTCGAAATTAAACTCCCTAGCTTGCCTTCCATGGAGACTGAGACCCTTCCTCCAACCTTTCCCGATCAGATCACCCTCGCCCACCTCCCGAAGCAGGTCAGGGGCCAGGGAACAGGGAGCTGTCTCCAAAAGCGCACCCCGCTCAGGGGGCCGGGCCGGGGCCAGGATGCAGGCCAAGGAGAGGTGCAGGCCCCGTCTTCAAGGGCCCCTGGGACTACTTACTAGTGGGAGCTCTGCCAAAAGTTCCCTGCCATGGAACACAGCTTGTCCTGATGAAAAAGCACCAGCCGGCGGAGCGACCATAGACCCAGCCCGCTCG